TGTAAGGAGAGACCAGTCCTTGGAGAGGGACATCATGCTTGGGAGGGGGGAGGGACAGCACAGGAGGGGAAGACCCTCTATGAGGTGGATTCATTCAGTGACTGGGATAATCGGGATGGGAATGTCAGAGACAGTGCAATTGGCACAGGACAGAGCAGAGTTTATGGCTGTTGTACATAGGGTCACTATGAGTCACAAGCCACTTGATGGCACATAACAACAACAAACAACAGCTCCTAAACTAATTGTACCAACAAAACTTCTGATTCAAATTCCTACTGTTCATGTCGTGCCTTGATGGTGGGTCTCTGTGCAGCATGAAGGACTCTCTAGTCTCCCATCTCTATGCAGCTTGCTATTCCCCTCTGGCTCTTCATACTGTACTTTCCACCGCCGCCATCTTGGAATCCCTGATTATTTTTTCTGTTACCACATCAATGGCTCCAGGTGCCAAATTACTTAAGACATAATTCATTTCCGTAAAACTGATGCTGGATTAAGAGCTTAATTTAAGATTTTCATAATTTTATTCAAGGTTTTAAGAATTTATAAGAAACTATTATTTTATAAGCATTTGAATTTGCCAGAAATTCTTAAGCATTTAAAATCAGGTAACAATAAATAAAGACCATGACATTAAATGTTACATAGGACTGTCTGGTTGTGTCTTTGCAGAGGCATGTGGGAAAATCAGACATCCATCACAGAGTTCATCCTCAGGGGGTTTCTGCTTGGCCCGAGGATGCAGCTGGTCCTCTTTTCAGTCTTCTCCCTGTTCTACACCTTCACTCTGCTGGGGAACGGGACCATCCTGGGGCTCATCTCCATGGACTCCAGACTTCACACCCCCATGTACTTCTTCCTCTCTCACCTGGCTGTTGTTGACATGGGCTATGCCTGCAACACGGTGCCCCGGATGCTGGTCAACCTCCTGAGTCCCACCACGCCCATCTCCTTTGCTGAATGCATCACACAGATGCTCCTCTTCCTGACTTTTGCGCCCATGGAATGTCTTCTCCTGGTAGTGATGTCCTATGACCGCTATGTGGCCATCTGCCACCCCCTCCGGTACTCTGTCATCATGAGCTGGAGGATCTGTATTAGCCTGACTGTGACTTCCTGGACATGTGGCTCCATCCTGGCCCTGGTCCATGTCATTCTCCTCCTGAGACTGCCCTTCTGTGGACCCCACGAGATCAACCACTTCTTCTGTGAAATCGTGTCTGTCCTGAAGCTGGCCTGTGCTGATACTTCACTGAACCTTGTGGTCATCTTTGCAGCCTGTGTGTTTATCTTGGTGGG